AGAAATTGAAAGAAGTCTTCATGCAGGTGGAGGATGAGCGTCGGCACGCAGACCAGTACAAGGAGCAGGTAGGTGGAAGGACTCGGCTTCTGAGGCCTGTGTCTCAGAAAAGGCAAATAAAACCATGCTCTGAGTAGAAAGGCCTTGTTAAGAAGCATTTCAATTAAAATCATAGAATCATAGAATGGTTTGGGTTGGAAGAGACCTTAAAGCTCATCCAGTTCCACCCCCCCTGCCATCAGCAGGGACACCTTCCACTAGACCAGGTTGCTCAAAGCCTCATCCAACCTGGCCGAGAACACTTCCAGGGAGGGGGCATCCACAAAATATTTGAGGGAACCCCCATCTTGATCACTAACCACTAGAGTAGCTCCCAGCAGTCGAGGCCTCCCTGTGTTTGCTCTGGTGTGATGGTCCATTATGTTCCTCAGCATCCCAGACACAGGAGCTCTGCAGCGTTTCCAGGAGCCCACACTGGAGCCTGCAGTGAGGCTGGTGGCTCATCTCCAGCTGAGGTGGTTGGGGAGGACGAGCTGTTAGCTGACTGCTCTCACCTCCCAAATCGTGGGGTTGCAGCTGCCGAGTTTGATCCTGATGACCTGGTTTTGTATTTTAGATGGAAAAGGCAAATGCCAGAATGAAGCAGCTCAAACGCCAGCTGGAGGAGGCTGAGGAGGAAGCCACACGCGCAAATGCTTCCCGACGTAAACTTCAGCGTGAGCTGGACGATGCCACAGAGGCCAACGAGGGCCTGAGCCGGGAGGTCAGCACCCTGAAGAACAGGCTAAGGTAAGTGGTGCTGGTGGCAGCGGGCAGGGGTTCATCTGAGCCCAGTGTGCCCACAGACCTCCTCTGTAATGTGTCCTGCGGGAGCAACCGCTGAGGCACCGCAGGAGCAGAGCTGCTGGTGTTTGGGGATGGGTCAGACTGGGACCTGCTGGGAACTGCTGACCGAGCCTGATGATGAGAACATAGAAGCTGCCAGACCACAGGGGTATTCCTGACAACTCCTGAGCCTGGACTCTTTAGAGCTCCCATTGGCAGCTCCCTGGGGTTCCCAGTTTGATCTGTCTGTAGGTAAATGTGACAGAGGGGACAGCTCAGTTGTGCTTTTCCAGTGGCTGGTACCAATCCCTTTTTTCTTGACCCACTCTGGGAGTGTTTCAGCAGGTCAGAGATCCGGGTCTGTGTCAAGTACAGATGGGAGTCAGCGAAGTTGAGGCTGGTGCAGAATAAAAACCTGCCTGACAGGGAGAGCAGCTGAGCTGGGAGGCCTGTAGGAAAAGCAGGAGGGGTGCAGCACAGCGCTGAACAAATGAGCTGTCAGTATTTCTTTGGAGAACCCACTCTGTACAGAGACAATATTTGAAGTCACTTGGGACTTGCCAGCTGAAGGTGATGGTGTAAACTAAGCAGGAATAGCAGAGTACCAGAACGTGTTCACACACAGTGTGTTGACTCCTTGGTCAGGGGGTTTCAAGACGCCGCGTGTGAAATCTGCCCTGTGAGTAGCCCAGAGAGGAGCTGCCGCGTTCCCCGCAGGTCGGGGAGATCTCTCGGGGGCAGCCAGCAGCACTGGGACGTGGGCTGTGAGCCAGGTGGGACCTGTCACCCATCACTGTCTGCTGCTTGTTCACAGGAGGGGAGGCCCCATCACCTTCTCCTCCAGTCGATCTGGGAGGCGCCAGCTGCACATCGAAGGGGCCTCTCTGGAGCTCTCGGACGACGACGCGGAGAGCAAAGGCAGCGACGTGAACGAAGCGCAGCCGGCCCCTGCTGAGTAGAGCCCCGTCACACTGTTGCATGCAGAGACCTTTTCCAGGACAGTCGGCAGAAGGAGGAGGACTTTCCTGACCACCGAACTGCCTTGTGGCCCTAAATCTGCCTTATGAAATGTTGGCATGCTACAAGGTTACTTACCATAGGTCAACTATGTCTTAAGGCTCTCCAGCCTCACCATGCTGTACCCTGCTTCAGATATAGGTACAACTGCTTTTTTATATCTAGTAAACAAAATGGGATCGTCTCTGTTCAATGCATCTATTTTCCAGATTGTTCTCATCATAAAGCCATTTTATAAAAGCATCATGTGAAGGATGAAACTTTTTTTTTTTTTTTTTTTAAAAATATCAAACCAGAAACTTCATTCCCAGAGGGTAGGTGGTTGGGACAGACCCGTTGTCATGACTATGCATGCGCTGCTGTACAGACAACATCCTCCTGTTTCTTCTGCGCTCAGACAGCTGAGCCCGTTGGATCATTGAAGACCAAACTGCACCTGTATCTTTCTTTTTCTCCTCATTGTTGTGATCAGCACACAATCAGCGTGAACTGTGAAACGGCCTCGGGCGGGGTTAGAGGGCAGTGTAGGGATGAATGAGTAGTGTATGTTTTTAACCTGCAATATCATTTTGGAGTGTTCTCAGCACCTGATTCATCAGTCAGTGTTCCTGCAGTACAGGCAAGTGGAGATCCCATCCCCACTCCTCCTCTGTCCAGCACTCTGCTCTGTAGGGACCTGCTCTCGCCACGCCCAGCAGATCTGTGTATATATTAAGGCTCATGTAATGTGAACACCAGTGGAAAATAAACAACACAGGCAAAATTAATTTATTAAGTTATGGCTGAGTTAGTCTGAGGACATGGAGCCGAGCGGCTGCACGGTGAGACGTGGCTTTCGTGGTCCCTTCGCAGCCAGGCTGGTGTCACTGGGGGAGCTGGTCCGCGGGCCAGCAGCGCAGCGGGGCCGACTTGTGCAGTGAGCGGCTTGCCTGGAGCTGGCGGCCACAGGGCTTCGGCGATGGGTGTTGCCTGTGAGTTAACATGCCAGTGGATGTGAATCCTTTTCGTTGTTGTTGTTGTTTTTTTTTATTTTGAACAGTATTACAGCCAGTAGTTAGCGTTCTTTTTGTTTAAATAGCGGAAAAACTGACATTACAGAAAGTGCCTTAGACACTACAGTACTAAGACAATGTTACATATATAATTTGCCTATATAACAATGATTTAATGTATTAATTTTGACTGTGCTTCATATCATGTACCTCTCTAGTCCAAGTGGTATTATTGATATTAGTGACAATGAATCAGTGTTAACTAGGAAACTTCCTCTGCCACATGCTCAAAAAAACCATGGATTTCCTTTTTTTTGGGTTAAAAGCTTTAACATCTGTCGCAAAGGTTTTGTTGTGTGTTTGGATATTTTTACTCAAACTGGCTGTTGACCACCAGGCATCTGACTGCAAATATCTTGTTTTCTTGTATACCCATATTTCTAGACAATGATTTTTGTAAGACAATAAATTTATTCATTATAGATGCGGCCGCCTGCTCTGTTTACTTACAGGAAGAGCGATCTCCTGAGGCTGGCATAGACCTTAATAAATGAGAATATGACTGGAAGTTGCCTTTTCCCTTCTTCCTGTTTTGTTTGCTTGGGGTGTTTGGGTTTGTTTGGTTTTGGTTTTGGTTTTTTTTCCCTCTTATTTTAACCTAAATGCAGCTTAAATGGCCAGGGGCTGAGCCTTTGCCTTTGAACTCTGATGGCCGTGCAGAGCTGGAGCACAGAGCGCTCTGAAGCCTTGTGCTGATGTTCAGTGCCCTGGTGCGGGCTCAGCCCCTGTTTCTGGGAGGTGTGTGACAGAATCTGGTCTTTTTCCTCAGCAGTTGAATTTCCTGTTCTGAGTGTCCTGTTCCGCAGGGCCTGGGCTGTGCAGGGCTCTGGGGGGCCGAGCTCTGGCAGGAGGCAGCGACGGTGTCGGGTGAGGCTGAGGCTGCTGGGAAGCTGCAGGTACTGGTGCCCTGGGGTTGATCCCAGCTCAGCTCTGCTGCTGGTCAGGGTGGTTTGCTGTGTCTGCACAGAAAATGGGGACCAAGATCGACCTACACAGGCAGAGGGGAGGTGACAGGAGGGGGGAAGATAATGGGGTTAAAAATGTGATGAGGGGAAAGGGGGCACGTAGCAGAGAGTGGTGGCTGGGGGGGGGGGGGGGGGGTCCG